GAGATAGAAACATCAAGGATGAGAGAGAATCACTGATCGGCTGCCTCCTGCAGGCCCCACACTGGGGATTGAGCCAGCAACCAGGACATGGGCCCTGACCGGGAATTAAACCGTGACCTCCTAAGTTCACAGGTTGATGCTCAACCACTGAGCCACACCAGCCAGGTGCAAGGTAGGAGCTTTATTTCCAATCTTCAGCAAATTATAAGAGAACTTGCTGATAAAGCACATAATTCACTTCCATGAGGCAAGTGATATACATTTGAGTAATCGGGTAACTTGCACCTTAAACCTGTTGTGCTGAATTATAGTTACAACTCTTCTGAGAATAGAAAACTAAGGCAGATGTAGAACAAATGTGAAGTGACACGTTGGAGAATATAATGGCAAAGCAGTGTTCGGTCAGTCTATAAACAGAGTCACATAGCTTGCTTTTTAGAAACTACTGAAGGAGAAGAATTTTATAATCTATAAAGTTTATAAAGCTTTTAAAACTAGACATGAAAGATAAACGAGCCTAGTAAGAATACACCTAAAAGGGTGTCTGCAGTTGTAAAATGTCTGTATTTTTTGTTCTCCTCATTACTTAGGAAAGGGTGACGCTGATCTGACAGGAGAGCACAGTTCTTAATAGAGAGTTGCTGTAGCAAATACACTGTATTTTTATTTTTTTAAATCATTCTTTTTTTAAAAAATGTTTTTAATGATTTTAGAAAGAGGAAGGGAGAGGGGGGAGAGAAAGAGAGAGAGAGAGAGAGAGAGAGAGAGAGAGAAACATCAATGATGAGAGAGAATCATCGAGCTGCTGCCTCCTGCACGCCAATTGAGACAGCAGCTCGGACATGTGCCCTGACCAGGAATCGAACAGTGACCTCCTGGTTGACAGAACGCTCAACTGAGAGAGAATCATCGATTGGCTGCCTCCTGCACGCCAATTGAGACAGCAGCTCGGACATGTGCCCTGACCAGGAATCGAACAGTGACCTCCTGGTTGACAGGTCAACGCTCAACCACTGAGCCACGCCAGTCGGGTAGAGGGTAAACTTTTGTTTGGAATTGTCATTTCTCATTTCTTCAAGTCTGATGTCTTGAATGTTTGTTTTTCAGTGATCAGGAACCTCCCTATTCAATGATTACATTGCACGAAATGGCAGAAACAGGTATTTTTAAAGTTTTTTTTAAAAAAATACTTCCTAATGAATTAATGATTATGAAATTAACGATTATAAAGAAATGTGACCACTTTTTTAAAAAAATAAAAGATTCCCCCAAATACTTAACAGTATGACAAAGAAAAAAATCCCTTAGTATATGGAAATTTTCTTAGACAAGGGATAGGAAATGTATATTGCATCCTGAATATGTAGCTGTACCTCCAGTAATAGTTTTATCTCATTGAAATTATTACCAGAAAAATTTTTTGGCATTGATGGATCTTTGACCATAACTCTTCTAGAATGGGAAGAATAATTTTTCTCCCTCAATTTGCTAAGTATAATTCTGAAAATAGAGCCAACTACTTCAGATACTTAATCTTCTTGGTTAACTCCTATGTCATAAATAAAATGCCAAAAACTTTTAATATCATATTTTGAGGACCCAGAACCATAGCTTGAATTTTCTCCAAATAAAGCTGCCAAAAATATCACCAAACTCCTGTAAATTTGGATTCTTTGACTCTACCATGATTACTAGCAATTGATGACTATGTTCATGCCAGATGTTAGCTGCTAAAACGTTACAGGATGAAGGCCAACAGTGTTTCTATTTTAATATGAAATCATCTTGGGTCATAGGTTATATATTTTCACATTTTTAAAATAGTGGCTCCATCGTGTAATCTTCTTGATTTGCTCTTAGATGAAGGATGGTTGGACGTTGTCCAGTCTTTAATTAGAGTTATTCCATTGGAAGATCCATTGGGACCAGCTGTTATAACATTGTTACTAGATGAATGTCCATTGCCCACTAAAGTAAGTTAATACTTATCTTTTATAAAACTGTCATCTGTGCTTAAACACAGGATGAATGACCACAAGGAATATTTGATGTAATGCATTTCCTTTTTATGCACTTGGTATCTGTTTTATTCAGTATTAATTTCATTATATAAACCAATGAAGTGCTACATTCTCCTATCAATAGCTCACTATACAGCTTTAATTTAAAATTTTAAAAATGTTAAAAATGGAGGCATTTAATCTAAAATACAATCTTTGGAAACTAGAAGAGAGGAATCAGTTGCTGAGCTGATTTTCTTATATTTAAACAATTTCCTCGTAACAAAACTTTTACACATTTTCTATTAAGAAAAAAACTGTTATACTGAAAGCACTTTTGAGTCTTATGAGTCTTATTCATACAGTAAAGATTGTATAACCTTGATTATGCCTTACATAGAACAAAAGTTCAAACTCTCATTGCCTTAGTCCATATGCTCTATGGAATCCTTTTTGTAAAATGCTGGGTTCTGGCATCTTTCATTTGTTTAAACCTCAGACCTTAAGGTCCAACATTGCAAAACAATGTGGACAGAGGGAAAAGTCTTTGGCCAAGTCCCTAATGAATTGACTTGCTTAGGCTTATAAGAGGTTTGTTTCTATCCTAATTTGTCTCTAAAGTTCTGGTGAGATTTATTCTTGCTTGCTAAAAAGATAAAAATTTTTAAAGTAACTTTTTACTTCAACATCACTAGGCCCTGTTGTTATAAATTATAATGGCACTTGGGTAGATTTATTCTACCCAAATGATTTCATGATTCGAGAGTATATAACATATATTTGGTATGACTGTTATATTTTGAATGGAATAGAATTTAGCAATTTATGTGAGACAACTTTCAGGTTAATCAAATAATAGTTCCCATCAATAATGGTATATCGGGTACATTATATCATTTCTGTGTGGCTATTCTGAGTTAACACCTCATTATAGCTTCTGCCTATAAGGATTATCTTGTGGGGGGGGGGGGCTAAGTAATGTATTTATGAAATCCACTTGTTCATTTTTTATTTTAGGATGCACTCCAGAAATTGACAGAAATTCTGAATTTAAATGGAGAAGTAGCCTGCCAGGACTCAGGTCATCCTGCCAAACACAGGAACACATCTGCTGTCCTGGGCTGCTTGGCCGAGAAACTAGCAGGTAACTCTGGAAAGCTCCACCAAGAAGATCTTAAGTTGCTTGACATTAAGGGGAAGATTGCACTGCAGGGGGAGAGGAAAAAGAACTTTAAATTGGAGCAGTTCCTGAGAAGAGAAACAGATATTTAACTTCTGTATGAATAGTACCCATTTTAGGAAGGTTAACATTCAAGTACAGGGGACTAGCTCGCTATGTCACGTGGTGGAAGGAGCAGTGGCTTAGAAATCAGAACAAATGGGTGCTGGTTCATACTCTGCCATGTGCTCCCCAAGTGGCCTGGAGTAAGTCGCTTCACTTGGAGGGAGGAAGGGCGTGGGAGGACTCAGTTGCTCATCTATGATTTGGGGATAGTACTAGTCCCTACCTCGAGTGGGAGACTTGAATAAGATCATGGGCAGAAGAGTGCTTGGTAAGAGTTCTACCAAAACAATTGTATTGTAACTAGTTACTGTTCAAAAAATAACATGGCACATTTAATGATACCCAGTGTTTGTTGTATTCGTCTAGGTCCTGCAAGTATAGGTTTACTTAGCCCAGGAATACTGGAATATTTGCTACAGTGTCTGGTAAGTGAGACATCAAAGCTAGTTATTCTTAGCCATTTAGAATGGTGCATTTTTCTAAAATTGCCAGCTTAGCCATTGGCACAGAGAATGGAATCAGTTATAAATGTTATAAATTTTATTTGCAGGTGTTTCCTGAGTGTTTATTCCCTCCTATGTTAAAAAAAAAATGAGGGTGGGATAGGAATTTATTACAAGCGAAAAACAGCTGGGCTGGGCTGGTTTTAAATGTAGTCACAAGATAGCGGCTATGATTGACTTATTGTGTGTGTCCTTAGGGTCTACCAAATGGTAGTAGGGACACCCCCACCCCACCCCCCACCCCATGGAAACAAAACTACATGGCATTCCAAACCAGGAAACCTGCAGGTCAGATTCCCAGTGTATCTAAATCTCTAGTCCACCGCCCCTCCCCTGTCACTAAGGCTCTTAAAACTGTTGTTGGGGATTTGATGTATTGTCGGGGAAGCTTGTGGTTTGCTGTGCCTCTGCCGTCAGACCTCACACTGCTGGGCTGCAGTCTGTATTTTTTAGTTATTTTTGCAGTGAGCACTGGCCTTCAAAAGCTGAAAGACCTTTTTCAGTGCTACTAGTATGCGATGTGGACTTGAAACACACAACATTATGTTAGGGAACCACTCTGGGGATACGGAATTGTATACCAGTTCTTTGCCCTGGAGAAGTTTCCTGGTTAGTTGAGGGAACAAAACTACTCAGACAAGACAGTAAGCCTCCATTTGGTAGCAGGATATGATCAAGGGCAAAATCGCTTCCTTCAGACCACGTGCTGCGAGTTCTGAGGTGATAGGAGGTGGGAGCTATGGTTGGTGCTGGCGGGAGAGTCCTGGGCTACAGGCTTCCTGAGGAGGATGGGACCTCATGGGCCACACGCTGAGGATAGGAGTTGATTGTGCACACAGGGAGAAAAAAGTGAGTTTCTGGGCTAGCGACACATCACTGGCAGAGCCCAGAGATAGACAAGACCGTGTTCCAGAGAATTGTCTGCTCGGAAGATAGTGTTCAGAGACATGAGGACATAGACTGAGTAGCCAGAGGGGAGGGCCTAGGGCCTGAAAAGCCAGACAGTGGGGTATGAAGCAGGGTGCTGAGCAGGCTTGCAACAGGGGAGGATGGTGGTTATATGAGCTTTGCAGAACCCAGTTGGGCGCCAGGGAAGCGAGTGGACTTGTTTGATGTCCTAGAGCTCCTAGTAGCTGTGTGAAAGCATGGCTGTGAGATGTGATGTTAAGCAGATAGACCTTTCTTTATAGGTGAGCTCATGGGACGTGAACTGAAATGTAACTGAAAGAGCTCATTTGCTCTCCCGCCCGCCATCAGCATGCGGCCTTCCTTTCAGAGAACAGATCGAAAACTAAGCCACTAGTTGTTAATTTCATTATTATTTTAGAACCCAGCAATGATGAATTGTTCCTTTTAGGGTGCTGAATAAAAAGTCATTTTTTGCTACAATTCTAGGTTTCTGTTTGGCTTGCTTAAATGAATGTAAGAATCAGTATTATTTTATTTAATAAAGCCCTAATAGAAATGCTACTAAGTAAAATAGCATAGTGCATTTAACCAGCTACGTCTGAAATTTCCATAACTCTAAGTGAACCCCGTAACCTCGAGAAAATAACATAAGACTCAAAGAGACTCTGTCTTGGTTCTTCATTACTAACAGTATTAGCAAAGGGATCCTGGAGGCCTGGAATGAGTACAACCTTTCTGACTGCTCCAACAAAAATCTAGCACATATTGCGTAAGAAGAGGAAGTTGATAACTTGCCACCTCTGCAGGGAAATGATGTTTTTGTTTTTTGTTTTTTTATCTTTTGTTGTCTTTCAGAAGTTACAGTCCCACCCCACAGTCATGCTTTTTGCACTTATCGCACTGGAAAAGTTTGCACAGACAAGTAGGTATAGTGACTTCTTGCACTAATGATCTTATGTATCGGTTGTTAAAACTCTCATTTTTCTCAGTTACTGGATGAGTTTACGCTCGGAACCCCATGGGACATGCATACATCCTGTTTTTGTCTGTGTAGACACCTCAAGGCCAGTAGATGTACCAGGGACAAAGGCAAGAGGTTCTCTCACCTGAGAATCAAAACTTGGTGACCATGATTACCCACTTTTTGTAGCTAAAAAGTTAGCGACGAGGTTGCTACTTTCTAGAAAATTAGCAGAGCTCTTGAGCTATGTCATTATTCTAGTCTCCAAGTTCTCTACCTTTCCTCACTCCTTCCCACCACTCATCTGTCCAGCGAATCATCTTACTCTTTCATGGTTCATTCAAGGTTTACATCTTTCCAAACAGGTGAAAATAAGTTGACTATCTCTGAATCCAGCATTAGTAACCGGCTTGTTACATTGGAGTCCTGGACCCATGATCCCGACTATCTGAAACGTCAAGTTGGTTTCTGTGCCCAGTGGAGCTTAGACAATCTCTGTAAGTTTCCATTCCCAAACTTCCTCCTCCTCCTCTTCCTCCTCCTCCTCCTCCTTTCTTCTTCTCCTCCTCCTCCTCCTCCTCCTTCTTTCTTCTTCTTCTCCTCCTCATCCTCCTCCTCCTCCTCATCCTCCTCCTCCTTCATTTTCATCATACATTTTTATTGATTTCAGAGAGGAAGGGAGAGGGAGAGAAAGATAGAAACATCAATGATGAGAGAGAATCATGGATCGGCTGCCTCCTCCACGCCCCCTACTGGGGATCACGCCCGCAACCCAGGCATGTGCCCTTGACCAGAATTGAACCTTGGACTTTTCAGTCTGCAGGCCCATGCTCTATCCACTGAACCAAACCAGTTGGGGCCCAAACCCATTTCTTACATAGGGTCACTGGCCTTCAGTTTGTAGCAGTGAGCATGAGTCTTTCCTTATAAGGACCTCTACTTGTAGGTTGGCTGTATTCTAGCAGAAACATATTCTAGGGGCCCTTCAGACAGGAATGATATGGAATGCTTCTGGTTCCAGCACTCTCCCCTTCTAAAACTTTTACTGCTGCCCTGTTTCCTGCTGCATCAAGGCCATTAATCAGATGGCACTGTGTGATCAACTCTTCCCAACACACACTGTCTCCTGCTGTCCTAGAAGCAGGTCTCCATGGTTCTACCTCTGGGCCTGTTCCCTCACTAGGCATTTCCTCCCTTTACTCTCCTCCCTGTCCCATCTTGGCTCTTCAAAACTCAAGTCACGGCCCGGCTGGCATGGCTCAGTGGTTAAGCGATGACCTATGAACCAGGAGGTCATGGTTCGATTCCGAACCCTGGTCAGGGCACATGCCCAGGTTGCAGACTTGATCCCCAGTAGGGGGCATGCAGGAGGCAACCAATCAATTATTCTCTCTCATCATTGATGTTTCTATCTCTTTCTCCCTTTCCCTCTCTGAAATCAATAAAAATATATTTTTAACAAATATTTAAAAAAAACAAAACTCAAGTCATGTCTTATCTACACAACAGGGTTGCTCCTGAATTTTCTCTTTTTCTCCTCCAAGGGCTGCTAGAATAAAACAATTTTACCAGAAGCTCCTCCCTTCCCATCCACAGTGAGCACTGTGCTGAAGCGCAATTGGACATGTAACCCCTGCTGCTACCGCAACATTGTGGGGACTGGCTTAGCGCACAGCCTGTGTTCTGCCAGTTAAAGAATAATTCTGAAAAACTACAATTCAGATTTTGTTGCATATAAAATACAGGCAGACCTCTTTTTATTGCACAGGGAAGCCAGAAGATTCATGTGACTTGCTTTATTGCAATACTTTATTGCAGCATCTGGAACTTTATTGCAGTCTCTCTGAGGCCTTCCTGTAATGACTATGGGGAGAAAAGCATAAGCCCGGCAGTGCTGCCTTCCCCAGCGTCATATGGTAGTGTAGCCGCAAAGCCAAGGCTGTAAGTCCCCCTACCAGCCCTGCCACCCATGAGCACCTCCGCTTCTGAACAGGAATGGCACTGAGCCATAACTCTAGTTTCTTCCCACAACAGTCGGGCTGAGAAACATGACACTTTCTCTTTTGCAGTTCTGAAAGAAGGTAGGCAGCTGACCTATGAGAAAGTGGACTTGAGTAGCATCAGGGCCATGCTGAATAGCAATGATGTCAGCGAGTACCTGAAGATCTCGCCTCATGGCCTGGAGGTAAAGCTGCTGCACGTGGACTATTGAGGGGTGGGGTATCTTATTCTCATTTTCATGCCCTGGTTCTGAACAAAAGCAATTTCCTGCAGAGGAGACAGAAATTCATTTCAGAGAGTGGTTAGAGGTCCAAGTGGCAGGAGAGAGGGTGTTGGGGTATCATTTGCCCTTTATATTCCACATAGTGCTGTACGTATAGGAAGCACTATATTTATTGACGGTTTGGTTTAAATATGTCCATCTTTCATCTCTGCCATGTTATCCAGCTAAAGGTACAAAGACTAGTGTTTCTAAAAGAGGCCCTTCCTTTTTTTTACCCCTGCAGAGCCAGTTGGACTGGGGCTAGTGCTTCCTCTCCCCCCTCTGTGTTGGAAATGCTCTGGCCTTGTGGTGAAGGTTGTTGAGAAAGCTGCTTATGATGAGGCAGGCGCCATAGGCACTAGGCTTGTCCAGATTGAAGAGCTGTTTGGAGAACGGCTGCAGACAGCTCTTTGATCTTCCGTATTGCCGAATGCTTGATGTAGTTTTCTGCTTTCAATTATTTTTAGGTACCGCATCTTATACCCTTCAGTACCCTTCTCTCCCTCCGTCATATTAAGTACAGGTTAAGGCAATGTTTATGCCTTTGTAAGAGATTCTACTGTGAGAGCGAAGCTCTGTAGGTATTTAAAAATGAAGCCAGGAGCCTTCCCTACCTCTTACCGCAGCCATCTTGGAGGTCTTCCCATCCTGCTAGAACCCCTGGAAATAAAACTGCGATATGGTGTGTGCTCCATTCCGCTTCGCACTTTTTGTCACCGAGGTGCACAGAGAAGGAAGCAGTGGTCCCCCAGGAGCGTTCAGAAGGAAAACACACGCAGCCTTCCGAGCTGCCGGTGTCTGGTGGGCTTCAGGCATTGAGGGGGCCTCTCTTGCTCTTTGGTTTTGCCAGGCTCGCTGTGATGCCTCCTCTTTTGAAAGTGTGCGTTGCACCTTTTGTGTGGATGCCGGGGTGTGGTACTACGAAGTAACCGTGATCACTTCCGGTGTCATGCAGATCGGCTGGGCCACACGCGACAGCAAATTTCTCAATCATGTGAGTACCCGGAGGACGGCCATGGGTACGGCGGCAGTTTTTAGCTGAGTGGGTAGAGACACTTATTTTTCAGATAGGTTTGCACATGCCCGGGTTGTGGGGTCGATACCTAGTAGGGCGTGCAGGAGGCAGCCCGTCAGTGGTTCTCTGTCTTTTGTTTCTATCTTTCCCTCTCCCTTCCTCTCTGAAATCAATAAAAATATGTTTTTTTAAAAAAAAACAGCGACACTCTTCCCGAAACATAGCAGGCCTTGCTAATCTCCTGGGCCCTGTCTCCCTCCAGGAAGGCTACGGCATCGGGGACGATGAGTACTCCTGTGCTTACGATGGCTGCCGGCAGCTGATTTGGTACAATGCCAGAAGTAAGCCTCACCTGCACCCGTGCTGGAAAGAAGGTATTCATTCCTCTCCATCATGAAATTATCAGTTAGGTCAAGACGTTGCTTATTATGAAGCATCTATTATGTTAGGCCTTAAAATGTTCTAATGGAAGAATATTCAGTGTGAAGAGGGTTAGTTCGCCTTCATATCCCCTGCCATGGATGGGAAAGGTATTCACCTGGTAAATTCACCTCTGGTGGAGCCCTTCCTTCAGCAAAAACATCTCAGAATATAAAAGTCTTAATTTAGTGGGAAGTGATCATCTTATGATTAATATGAATTCTAGTTTCCTCTCTGGGTGTATGTTTTGAATCAAAGCAGCTATGGAGATATCGAAGATACTGGAAGTGTAATGAGGATATTTTGCATTTAAATGAGGATATTTTCAGAGACCAGATGGCTGAGGAATAGGCACTGTTCAGTGGACACATGCTGGGCACCTCTGGCGCAGCCTTTAAGGGCAGCTTGAGCACTTTCGGCCTCAAACACGTCTGCTCAGCCTACCTTCCCCAGACGGCAGCCTCAGGATGCTGCAGGGACACAGGCTTCCAGAAACTCAGTCGTGGCTCTAACAGCGGTTCTCAACCTGTGGGTCATGACCCCTTTGGTGGTCGAAAGACCCTTTCACAGGGGTCGCCTAAGATCATCCTGCATATCAGATATTTACATTACGATTCATAACAGTAGCAACATTACAGTTATGAAGTAGCAACGAAAATAATTTTATGGTTGGGTCACAACATGAGGAACTGTATTTAAAGGGCCAGAAGGTTGAGAACCACTGCTCTAGGATGTTTGCAGGAATGTATCTTGGCAACAGTATGATCTTTTTTACCCCATTCAATTTTTGTTCATCCACTCTGCGGTATCTAAGACCCTGGACCCATGAAAACATTTATTAGTGAAAGATTCAAGCAGGAAGTCAGAGCCACACAGTTGGTTTGTTAAACACTTAGATGGAAGATCTAAGGTTGTTGAGTCTTTTCACCCCTCGCTAAATACAGTGAAAACAGGCTTTCTCAGAGGGCCTCCTGGTGCTATGCCTCGACACCCACCCCCTCCACCCCACCCCCCGCCTCACACACACACATTGGTTCTGAAGACATAGCATCAAATGGTAGGGGATGGAGCCTCTGCAAAGATTTTATCCCCAGCATTGGACTAGATAGGGGATATAGCCCAGCTCCTTCTCCAAGCCTTCTCTCTCTCTCTCTCTCTCTTTCTCTCTCTTTCCTGCCCCAGTCTGCATTATAAATGTAAACTGAATTTTCAGGCATGCTAAGAGAGCAGGAAATTGACCCCTGCCGTGCAGGGACGGGGGTCAGTTAATTAAAGTGATAGTGTAGGAAAGTAAAAAACCTTAAAAGTCAAATATAAGCCTTCATTTGAATGGCTTGCAAGTTCTTAAAGAAGAAATATAAAACTTCATTTAACAGAGCATAAGATAGAGGCACTGTCTACAAAGACTGTGTAATTTGTTTTTTTAATAATTTTACAAAGGATTACTTAAGTAATGTGTTTATTATAAAATTTTGGATAATAGAGGAGGGAAGCAAAATGAAACTAAAATCCCTTGTAATTTCACCATCCAGAGACTTTTTAAAAAATACTTAAAATTTGGTGTAAATATATTACATAATTATACTATATTAATACCTCAAGGTTGGATAATTACATTTTAACCTTTTTAAATTACTATTATAAAAAAAATATGAACCATTCTGGATTTTCTCAGGACAAATGCTTAAAGTGGAACTTCTGGTAAGGGGAATAAAGAATTTCATTTTGTAAATGTTTTGCTTTATATTACCAGATTATCTTCCACTAGCAGTGAGTGCCTATTTTTCTTATCATCATTGTATAATTTCGTGTGTTCACCTTTAACAATTTAAAAAGCAAAAACTTGTCCAGCTGGTGTGGCTCATGGTGAGCATCGACCTATGAACCAGGAGGTCATGGTTTGATTCCTAGTCAGGGCACATGCCCAGGTTGCGGGCTTGATCCCCAATGTGGGGTGTGCAGGAGGCAGCCAATCAATCATTCTCTCTCATCATTGATGTTTCTCTCTCTCTCTTCCTCTCCCTTCCTCTCTGAAATATATATATAAAACCCTGAGACACTTAGCAGAATCCCAGTGGTATACACCCTCATCCTAACATTGCTTTGCTTTATCCTGCAGGAGATACGGTAGGATTTCTGTTAGACTTGAATGAAAAGCAAATGATCTTCTTTTTAAATGGCAACCAGCTGCCTCCTGAGAAGCAAGTCTTTTCGTCTACTGTGTAAGTAGCTTTTCCCATTCAAACACTTGAGGACATGCACAGAATGCACTTTTTTGAAAAAATTAAGAGTTATTCTGAGAAAGCTCACCTTTTTAATTTTTATTTTATTTAATATATTTTTATTGATTTCAGAGAGGAAGGGAGAGGGAGAGAGAGATAGAAACATCAGTGATGAGAATCAGTGATCCACTGCCTCCTGCACACCCCACACTGGGGATCAAGCCTATAACCTGAGCATGTGTCCTGACCTGGAATCTAACCTTGACCTCCTGCTTCATAGGTCAACGCTCAACCACTGAGCACACAGCCGGGCTGGAATGCACTTTTTTCCAGAAAAAAACCTTTGTCCATTTATATAGTCAGGTGTGATGAGACACCATTTTATTTCAAGTAATTGGGGACCCATCTGATCATACCTAAAGTTACCTCAAAGTTTGACATAGGAAGATAAGGATCTAACCTTGACCTCCTGCTTCATAGGTCAACGCTCAACCACTGAGCACACAGCCGGGCTGGAATGCACTTTTTTCCAGAAAAAAACCTTTGTCCATTTATATAGTCAGGTGTGATGAGACACCATTTTATTTCAAGTAATTGGGGACCCATCTGATCATACCTAAAGTTACCTCAAAGTTTGACATAGGAAGAAGATAAGAGCAGGAGATCCTGTCCCCCTTTCTGCGAGGATGTGACTCATTCCAACTTCGGAAAACCACTTCACATGTGAGCGTTGCCTTGTTTTTATGAGTTTTCTTGACCTCTTGCTTATTTTTTCTGTAGATCTGGATTTTTTGCTGCAGCTAGTTTCATGTCGTATCAACAGTGTGAGTTCAATTTTGGAGCAAAACCATTTAAATATCCACCATCTACGAAATTTAGCACTTTTAATGACTACGCCTTCCTAAGAGCTGAAGAGAAAATCATTTTGCCAAGGTAAGGAGTCTGCAGACCAGCTCCAAACTTCCTCGTGTATCTCATGAGAAACTACAACCGTTTCTCAGAGGCTTTTTTCAGCTTCATACAAATAATTTTAAAAACCTGAGAAAAATAGCGACTTCCTAGGAAATAGAAATTACCAAAACACATCCCAGAAGAGATAGAAACAAAACAGTTATTACAAAATTAATTGAAAGAAATCAAGAGCCATGGTCCCAGAGAGCCCCAGACCCAGGGGCTTTCGCCGGAGAACTCCACCAAATATTTGGGCAACAGCTCAGTTCTCTGCTATGTACAATGTTGCAGAACCCAGAAGGAAAGAGCACTTCCAAGTAATTGTTCTGAGCTGACTAATATTAGTTATAAAAATCAGACAATATAACACATTGCACATACACCAAAACACCTGCGAGGGGGGTGGGGAGGGGTTCTGGGTTGGTAGGTACATAGGTACAGGATGGTTACCATTTAACATTTACAGTGACTAGAGGTTGTATATGGGCAACAAGCTAACTCTGAGGAGTTGCAGGTGCTCCACCCAGGGGTAAGAAAAGAAGATTAACATTTCAAATTCTGGTATCTCAGATGCCTAAGAACATGGGCAAGGCTAATTAAGGTACAGGTTAACCCGAGGAATCAATAGGCCTGGGATGTGACTCCCTACGGTGACCTGCCCAGTGAGGAGTTTATGACCAGCTCATCCTGTGTGGATACTGTCAGTCACTACTGTCAGGCCTGCGCTGTGCCCTGAGCAGGTCATGTCTGCTGTGTAGCCCCTCTTTCGTTCCCAGCACACACACAGCATTTTGAAAGCATTTCCTGGGCCTCCCTGCTCACGGGCCCCCTTGTCTGTGACACGCTGTGTTTCCACTCAGGCACAGGCGTCTTGCTCTGTTGAAGCAAGTCAGTATCCGGGAAAACTGCTGCTCCCTGTGCTGCGATGAGGTAGCAGACACACAGCTGAAGCCATGTGGACACAGGTAAGAGGGCTTATGTGGATAGTTCCTGTTTTGTACGTTACATGAGGCAGTTTCATCGTGTCCTTGAATTGCTTTTAGAGTGTCCCGTTTCATAGCTGTTCATCAAGTTTACTGTGTGAAAGTGGGCTAAATGAGGAACTCAATCGGGCAAGGAGTGCATGGCTGTCTCCAAGAACGCACCTGAAGTAGAAACAGCTGCTTGATGCCGAAGGCCTTGGTTTTCTCAGTGCTATATTTGCAATAGTGTGCACATCACAAAATGTGAAACGTTTAAGGCTATTTATGATCTTCGCGGGCAGTCCCTCTTAGTTGTAGAGCCTCCTCATATATTATTATTTATACTCAACCATTGAGCAGGCAGCGCCTCCCTGCCATCTAACCACACATCAGTGTTCTGAGATGAACTCAAAGGGCAGCCTAGACCCTGTAGAGCAGAGTGGCTAAACATCAGCAAGACCAGCATGTAGGACAGTCCCCAAGAAGGCCCTCCCAGCGCGGGTTAGAAAGGGGTTGGCAGTGTGCGGGCCCAGGCATGCATGCTGACTGTATGTGAGCAGCGCCCTGTAATTCAGCACAGCCCGTGCCCTACCTTGCTCTTATGTTTGACGTAGCTTTAGCCACCAGGCCTCCCAGGGTCCAGAGCCTGGAGTGACGGACCCGTTTGTCACCCCCAAGTGTGCCTCAGCCTGGGCCCTGAATCTGCCGTCTTTTGAGATGTGTTGTTATCTAACGGCTGTTAAGGAAAGTGCATCCAGTGTACCTCATTTCACCCTTATCTGTACCGGTCTCTCTCCTGAAAGAAGGGTTCAGTGGCTCCAGCTAGGGTTGCTCCTTGATATCACCTCCGCAGCCAAGAATTCCTCACTTTGAGCCCTTTTGGAGGTTTAGTTATCAGGGCCTCACAGGCAGATGCAGAGTTTAAAGGTTGGGTAGCTTGATACCCTTTTTGATCTTTGTAAGTATGTTAAGATCCCAAACAAACAGCGGGATCTGAGATATATATATATATATTTCAGAGAGGAAGGGAGAGGGAGAGAAAGATAGAAACATCAATGATGAGAGAGAATCATTGATCGGCTGCCTTCTGCACGCCCCCCCAATGGGGATAGAGCCTGCGCAACCTGGGCATGTGCCCCAACTGGGAATTAAACCAATTGATTGGCTGCCTTCTGCACGCCCCCCAATGGGGATAGAGCCTGTGCAACCTGGGCATGTGCCCCAACTGGGAATTAAACCGTGACCTCTTGGTTTATAGGTCAATGCTCAACCACTGAGCCACACCAGTCGGACCAGGATCTGGTCTTATTCATCTCTGTGCTCTCAGGCCCTCTCAGTGGTTTTTGCACATAATAAGGGCTCATGAATGAAGGCTGAATCTAAAAACTTAGAACCAGCTATCTTAAATATGAGCACAGCTTCCTTAGTAGACAAATCCAAAACAGGATCGAGGAGGAAATGAAAGGGAGACTTGTTATTTATTTATAAGTGTACTTCATTTTATTAGCCATGAATTATTACTCTTTCAATTAATAAGCTTGTTAACATTTTCGATCACATCGGTCAGTCTGGCCTCTTGATGGGTTAACCTAACTGGCGTTTGTCTTTCTCCGCAGTGACCTGTGCATGAATTGTGCCTTGCAACTGGAGACCTGCCCATTGTGTCGGAAAGAAATAGCGTCTAGAGTCAGACAGATCTCTCATATTTCATGACACACGGGAAGAGACACACGGACTTATTTCTACTCAATTCCAGCCAGTGTGGAAAAGAAAAAGAAAAAACCCATCTCTAATCAGTTGTACGCACATTGAAACTTATAGCCATGGCCAGATTTTATGCTAAAAATGGTAGTTTGTCAAAGACAAAATTCTCTTAGAATCTAACCCAACTTGCCAGCCCTGAGAAATTCCTTTCAAGGCCAAGGAAAGCTGAGTGCTAACAAGTGAGGCCTGTGGTACTTCCCTGAAGCGATAGGGGGCAGCACCCTCGCGAGCGCTGGGGCCACACCGGATTTCTCCCTGTTGGGTTCGTTTGATTGTCTAACACAGGATGTTTTGTCTCATATTCTGAAGTTTTATTTGGACAGAAGGTCATTATGGAGAAGTAAACGGCAGCATTTCTGGGTTGAGTATAACTTCCCGTTGGTCAGAGATAGCGGTGTGTTAAGTGTGGCTATTGCACTGTAAAACTTGAATCTATAAAACTAGAACCACACAGGTCAATACTACAAGCAATTTGGAGAGCCTGAAAGAAGGTGCACAGACTGTAGAAAACTCCCAAACTTTTGATATTTCAGTGATTCCAAAGAACATTCTAGTTTTTTTTAAATGCAGAAAATCGGTGGTATTTTCACATTCATGGTGTTTCTATCCAACTTCAGTACCCACATTTCGTGAGGAAAACATGTTTTAACAATGCAGGATGAATTCTTGAATTAATTGCAATGTTTGGAGAAAATTTGGTATTTAAGGTATTTTTAAGGTACCATGAAATCAGGTTTTTTGGTTAAAAAAAGTTGTTTTTAATCAGTATTGTTTTTGAAAGTAACATACTTTGAAACGCTTGAACTAACAGTCTCAGAAACTCTTAGAAGACAGTCTGAGAGCACGTATTCCTGTTGTTTTGAATAAATAACATGTTTGAATGGTGAATTCAATCATGGATTGCTGACTGTATCTCCATCAAAGTGTTCCTCCCTCTCAGGGTCTCTGGTGAAGACCTTCAAGAGTTTGGTTTTTTTCTCCCAGAAAATTGGAAGGTAGAATTGTAAATCCATAGAATTTACTTTATAATGGTGTACCTCAGCAGCTGCCTTTCAATTTATGCCAAGTCCTTACTGAGTTTATACTTGAATAGTAAATATGTCTTCTGAGTTTTACAGTGTCTTAAACTCAATGCACATTTTTTCTTCCTTCCCTACCCTTTTTTGTTTGTAGTTCATTAAAATGTCCTCTTATAGTGCTGGTTTCCTTCCTGGCCGTACTTGTTGGGGTGCTGGATTTTTCCCATGTCGTTAGTCTTCCATAAATTCAAAAATATATATAAATATAAATATATATATATATGTTCTTTAGCTTGTGGTGAATACAGTAATTTGCATTGAAGAAATAAAACATTTGTTGCCTTTTTTTAACTAAGATTTCACAACTTTCATTGGTCCCTGCTGCTAAAGTTCTAAGACAGCATACTCTCAGGTGTAAGGGCTACTTTCCGGAGTAGGAGAGAATCATGTGTTAGAATTAAGAAGTGAGGTTAATCACTGTCCATCCAGCAAATCTTTATTCTGGGCACTTGTATACAAAACAGATCTGTTCATGGAGCTTGCTTACGTCTGGTAGTGGGAAGAAGACCACTGAAGACACCAGCTGGGCTACTTTTCCAATTCTTCTAGACCAGTGGTCGGCAAACTGCGGCTCTCGAGCCACATGCGGCTCTTTGGCCCCTTGAGTGTGGCTCTTCCTAAGCCTTAGGAGTACCCTAATTAAGTTAATAACAATGTACCTACCTATATAGTTTAAGTTTAAAAAATGTGGCTCTCAAAAGAAATTTCAATCGTTGTACTGTTGATACTTGGCTCTGTTGACTAATGAGTTTGCCGACCACTGTTCTAGACCATAAAACAAGGATTTCAATATTAAATTATTCTGGATGGAAGCAAAGTTGTAATTTAGGAGTTGCTTCAAAGGGAAAGACATTTACTCCACATAGAAGAGAAAAAATTGCCAAGCTATGTGGAAGAAGGTAAACAATGATCTATATTCTGTGTGGTCTGTAAGCATTTTAAGAGAAATGGAAAGCTAGGCTTTTGCTGATGGTATATTGTGCCAGAGAGAACAATATGTAATGTATATATTTTTAAATTTTATTATTTGTTTGTTGTCAAGTCATGCATTAGATTGTTTTTTACCCTCACCAGAGGATATGTTTTATTGATTTTAGAAAGAGAGACATCCATGCGAGAGAGAAGCATCAATGGGTTGCCTCCCGCATGGGCCTTGATCGTGTATTGAACCCTCAACCTTTTGGTGCACAGGACAACGCTACAACCAACTGAGCCACCTGGCCAGGCATGTAATTTATATTTTTTTATTTCCCGGAAATACCCCCAGGATTCCAGCCAGCCAAAAAAAGTGTTTCTAATGAATTGCCACCTTTTTTGAATGATGATGCTAAAACAAGGTAAAGTCATGATGCCAGAACACCAGGAAACAGCGACTCAGTGACAGAAACAACTTCACTTGCAGAAAATGATATTTCATGAATTTCAACCATCTCGAATATGTATCCAAGAAAACAAACTATCCAACTAGGATCGCTCTTCTAAATAGTGTACATTTTTTTGCTACTCCAATTATTAATACCCACAATCAAAGGATTTATTATGGAAAGCATTTAATATATTCAAGTAAATGTATTTTTTATACAAGAAGGCCATCATTCAGGTTTTTTCCCCAGAAAAGTATCTTGTTCTGATTTCCAGTATTGTTTGACAACTTGGGGATTGGTCCCCTCCATAGGGCATGATGAGTAAAACAGGAGTGAGCCTCCTCCCAGATTCCAGCCCCATACTGTCACTTCCCACAAGTATGCAAGTACTTCCAAGCCTGGGTTTCCTGATCTATAAAATCGAGATGCTAATTCCTCATGGAGTGTTTCTTTTATTTTTATTTATTTTTAAATATATTTTTATTGATTTCAGAGAGGAAGGGAGCAGGAGAGAGAAAATAGAAACATCAGTGATGAGAATCATTGATCGGCTGCCTCCTGCATGCCCCATGCTGGGGATCAAACCTGCAACCCAGGTATATGGCCTTACCGGAATCCAACCGTGACCTCCTGATCCATAGGTCAACGCTCAACCACTGAGCCACGCCGCCCAGTCATGGAGTGTTTCTTTTTTTCTTTTTAAATATATTTTTATTGATTTCAGAGGGGGGGGGGAGGGAGATAGAAACATCAATGATGAGAGAGAATCATTGATTGGCTGCCTCCTGCACACCCCCTCCTGGGGATCAAGCCCGCAACCAGGGCATGTGCCCTTGACCAGAATCAAACCTGGGACCCTTTAGTCCACAGGCCAACTCTCTGTCCACTGAGCCAAACCGGCCAGGGCTGGAGTGTTTCTTTTAAATCACAGTTTCAAGTATTTCACTTTTTCTATGCAGTTCTATTGGATTTATTGGGCTAACACTGGTTAACAAAATTATGCAGGTTTCAGGTGCACAATTCCACAACACATCATCTGCACACTGTACTGTGTGTTCACCTTCCCAAGTCTCCTTTCATCACCATTTACGACCCCCCACCTCCCACCCCATACTCTCCTCCACCTCCCTCCTCGTTTTAAATATTTCAAAAAGAGAGAATGTGTTTATAAACGTTTAGCACCAATACTTGGCACATGCCTGACTAAGTGGGTACCTATGATTATTGTCTTTATCCCCATTTGTTCTCTTAGCCAGAGAAGGTGAAGTGGATTAAAGATGGTCACAAGTTCTTGGACATTCCTCCCGTCTATAAATGAGCTTTGTGTCCCCTCCCTTAAATTGGTGGGCTCTGTGCTTGACCAATATACTTCAGTGGAAGTGGTACTGTGCCAGATTCCTCGTCCCAGGCCTTTACGTGACTGGCCGCTCCCACTTCCTGCCTCTTGAGGTATTTGCTCTTGGACCCAGCCACCATGGTGTGAGAAAAACCAAGGGAAGACCTACATAGAGAGGAATTGAGGTCCCTCCACCCCAATCCTTTCACCACCATCCACACGGAGCTCCCAGCCAAAAGCCAGCACCAAGTTTGCAGACATGGGAGTGAGCTTCTGGGAAGAGGCTCCTCTAGCCCCATTCCACCTGCCCCAGCTGATGACGAGTGAGCAGAGACCAGCTGTCCCTACCAAGTCCTGAAAGTGCAGATTCCTGAGCAAAATAATTGTTTTAAGCCACTAAGAGTTTTGGGTGGTTTGTGGTTTGTAACAGTGATAGATGACCAGAACAGATGAAATCATTGTTTCCTCCTCCACTCTGATCCCGTCCATGATTTAGCAGTAGAAAGGGTAGGCAGGCGTGGCCTGGGTAGCTCAGTGGTTGAGCTTCAACCTGCGACCCAGAAGCTCACGGTTGGGGGCTCTATCCCCAGTAGGGGGCGTGCAGGAGGCAGATGATCAGTGATGATTCTGTGTCATCATTGATGTTTCTCTTTCCTCTCCCTTCCTCCCTGAAATCAATTAAAAATATATATTTTTTAAAGAAAGGGTGGGCAAGTTCATTTAGCCCAAAAGAAATAACTTTCTTTTATTTTTATTTATTTTTAAATATATTTTTATTGATTTCAGAGAGGAAGGGAGCAGGAGAGAGAAGATAGAAACAGTGATGAGAATCATTGATCCGCTGCCTCCTGCATGCCCCATGCTGGAGATCAAACCTGCAACCCAGGCATATGGCCTTAACGGAATCCAGGAGCTCACGGTTGGGGGCTCTATCCCCAGTAGGGGGCGTGCAGGAGGCAGCTGATCAGTGATGATTCTCTGTTATCATTGATGTTTCTCTTTCTCTCCTCTCCCTTCCTCCCTGAAATCAATAAAAAATATATTTTTTTTAAAGAAAAGGTGGGCAAGTTCATTTAGTCCAAAATAAATAAGTGGTTTATAGAGAAAGTAGGTCATGAGGAAATTTGCTGAGTTTGCTTTGAGCTGTGTGGCCAGTGCTTGACATAAACAGAACTCGGCCCGGTTATGCAGCAAACCTTTCCGGATGCCTGGCTTCTCTCTGGTGCTGCGCAGAGTTGGTGCCTCCGAGATACCATTGTCCTGATAACAAATCCCTGTACCCAGGCACCACACATTCGGCCAAGATGTGTAAATGCAACCGGAGAGACGGTGCCCAGTGGTCCAGTCAAGAGGAATGTGCTCTAGGGAATCTTTTGGGCAAAATTTGGCAGCATTGGAGGGGACTTTTTTTCTGATTGCGTTGCTCAAAGGGGTTCTATCAACTTTCCTCTCGCCTAATTGGCCAAGATACCATTTACTGCCGAATCTTTATGATGTGAATATGCGTGCCGTACAAGACACCCACTTCTTGCGATGAGGCTTTCCTTCCACGAGAGGGAGTAGCTGCCTTGCACATCGGCAATTATCTGCTTCCAAAACTAAGGACTGCCTCTCAAGAGATCTGCTATGTATAGTGCTCTCAAAATCCGCTGTAAACTACTTCATCTTCTTAAGTCTTGTAATTTGCAAATGGGGAAACTGAGGCACTTGGCTTGGATTCCTTCCATAAAACGGGGGCGACGTGAGATGTAATGGCCGCACAGGGAGAGACCACGTCACCGAGCCCTGAGTGCTCACGGAGGCCCCGCTTCCTTCCCCCCTTCACCCCCCCGCGACTTCCCATCCTTTTCCCTCACTTCCTCCTCCCGTTTGCCCCGCCCCTGGCGTCGCGCAACGCGCGCCTGTGATTGGCTGTCGGGAGTTGCGAGGCAGCGGAAGAGGTTGCGGTGACCATGGTGACGGGAGGCGGGCGCGGCCCCGAGACC